AGTACATACTACCTACAACACACATCAAAATTGCCTACATTGAACTCCTTAAGAGGATGTCGGTGCACTATTTATTTTCTCTCTATGTATAAACAATTTAAGTTAGATAGGTTTAAGTTGGTAGGTACTTGGTATATTTTTATATATTAAATACAATATAGCTTAGTATACTATAGAGTAAGTTGCATTTTTATTACTGGGAATTACTGAGTATGAATCATAGTGCCTTATAGTTAACTATAGGTGACCTTTTCATACTTTATCATAAAATATAACTAGTAATACATATAAAATAATATTTTATTACTAGAAATTCCCCATGTAGACCTTTCGTACTTTTATGCTATTATTTTAGTGAACTAAATTTTACTCTATTGACAGTCATTGAAGTTTTAAAGTGTTTTCATTTAATTTTTATATTTTAATTTATTAAATACATTTGAAATGAAAACTTTTAAATCCCCTAAAGGAGGTGAAAAAGTAGCTTTTGAAAGATATACATATATATATGTGTCTCTTATTTGCTATTTTATTGATATATTTATATATAGAATTTGAATATTATTTATTTATTCTAACGCTTGTAAAATTATTATATGATGTTATCATTAATTGATAAATGATTAATAATAGTAAGTTGATATATTTTTCGTGTAAATGTGTATAAATAATCATTTTTAATCTTTATAATCATTTGATATATTTATTCTTTTTTTATGTATTCAAATTTTAAAAAATTGTTCTTTTTTCTTTAGTTTTTTTTACCGATTACCATCAACATCCCACGTTAAATTATACACAACGGTCTCATCAAAAAATTCAAATTTATTTATCTTAGTTTTACTACTTAAAAGTAAGAATTATACAAACATAAGTTTTAGAATTTAAAATGTTATCAGTTCATGCTACTACCAACTAACAGTGTTTGTATGTTTGGATAGAAATATTTAAAACTAAGAATCACGCATGTAATACATAAACCACAAAAATATAATATTTATATTACATTTTGACTCACCGTTAACGCAAAAATATCTAAACATATCTTTATATTTATTTTGTAAAAAATACTATTTTTTTTTTTTTTTTGGAAACTAGATCTTTTTGTTCATTCTATTAATTATTAATTATTTTTCTCCTTCGGTGGTTGTGTCAGAAAAAGAAAAAATACCTAGTTTTTATCCGAAGCCAACCCATTTATTTACGGAAAATAATAAAACAGTTATTTCTTTCTATCCATATAAATTTAACAAATTTTATACTTACTTTTGTATGTGTGACCCGAGGATACCTTATACGGCTTATACCATTCAGTAATCATATATTATAATATGTACCTATATTTTATTTATAAGTAACTACGATTTTTGGTACCAATTCGGTATCATAATTTGGTTATTACCTGTAAACACGTTTTGATGTGATATTATAATACGGATTGTACGAGTATGCTAATATTAATACTAACTTAATACGTATGCTAGTCCCTACCCTCCGCTCATCGTCCCACATACCTATATTATACTACATTGCAATAYTAAACATTTTTAAAAGAAAATTATGCTGCATATTGTAACAAATGCGTCTTACTCGAGTACAGTCTTATAGTTTTAAGTATTTTTGCAAAATGTTATTAGGTATAAAKGCATTTCAAGAATATTTATTTGTGCAAATATATTATTTATTGACGGACACAAAAAATGTTGTATAATAGACACAACCTGATACCGTTATGTATATTATGTACATGCAAATATTGTAGTACGCATAAACACGAATATAGAATATCATACTTACCAATATATTATTATATAGGTTTTCGGCGTTTTTGTGACACATAACGATCGCACAATTGTTGTCCTATATAACTATATCCCYACTCGTGTCTCATCAAAACCGTACAATATAATATTAGAATATCGCGTGCGTGAATTATACAGCACACAACAGTTATATAGTTGGCAGCCAATTTGTTGATACGATAAAATATGTTGACATTAATATCATTAGCGTTCCTGCAATCCTTTTAAAACACATTTCGTATACATTGGCATGTGTGGCTTTAATCGATTAAATTATTATCAATTATTGTTATTATACGATATAAATACATGCGCGTTGCGTAAAATATACCTACGGGGTCACGTATCATATTCATCGTGACTCAGTTCATCTCTCGTAAATTATGATCGCAGTCCCGATTACTCATTAAACCATCTACAAGCGATGATGGAGCGAAGTTGGAGTAAAGCTGTAAGGCTAGGGTGTGCGATTGAACCCCTACTTTTAATAAGACATTGTAGACGTATTTGCTAATCATTAAAAATCGACGTGGTAATCGCATTTTTAGAATATAATTTTTTTTGTGTGTTTTACTAGTAGAAAACTTAAAAATATAAAATATATATAGTCAATAAAATTATGTATAATAATATATGCATTTCCTAATAATTACCTATTACACCGGGGGGATTTTTTATTAATAGAAAAAAAATTATATTTTATGTGCTTTTTTTGCTGCATTAAATATTTGACTTCTTCAAGCTGCTTTTATAATTCATTATTACTTATCAACTTTTCAGTTTTCACGGGAATTAATTATTTATCATCTTTTAGTTTTTTTTAAATTACTTTTTCTATTCCTGTAACCTGTTGATGTCGTCCATGATCTATKGCAAAAATTAAAACATGGGAACGTATACTTATAACTTATAATAGTTAAATAATATACTTATAAGTTATAAGTATATTATTTWATTTAATTAGGTCTAGTGAAATCTCAAAACTGTCTGCCTGAAACCTAATATAAAAAAAAAAAAATGAAACGACGCTGCTGGGTCAATTGTCCATTGTGGGACAATTTATCGATTATTATCATACTTAACAGGTATGTCTATTATTRTATCGGATCATGAACTTGGTCGTCGTCACATATATATATAGACCATAGGTACCTACCAATAATGATAACCTATGAACAATAATTATATAAWAAGTATATTCTGTTGTCACAATAATTTGACAACCATCGATTGTGGAATCGTTAAATCATCGATGTATATCATTGTTTTGTTTCCGCGCATTGATGCGATTTTATTGTAGTGATTTTATTTTCGTTCGTTATTTGTAGAATGGTATACAATTATGGATATTCAAATATGAAAGATTTCAAACAAATGAAAAGGGAAAATGTATGTTTTCGCACAAATGCAATCTTTTTCTAAAAGAAAAAGACGATGGTATCATATCTATATGGAAATGTAACGAATATTTTAAAATCAAATGTCACGGACGAGTTCATATAAGTGACAGAAAAATGTTTTAAAAAAAATATTGAACACAACTACATTCAGAATCAAGCACTACATAGTWAAAGAAATAGAGACAAATTCCTATAGAATGCCAGAATCTGCCAGCAATTATTACCAATATTAATATTCCGTCATCGACTCAACCGTACAGCATGACGTGTATGAAATCTACAACTATAAATGCATAAACTATACCAAACAATCAACTGATTTTAATTTTATACTATATTTGATGAAATGACGAATACCATCGATGGAAATCATTTTTAAAATAATATGATGACAGCTGCAGTGGTATTATGWACATCACGGAATTCACAAATTGTTTAGTGTTAGAAATTCATAAAAAATTTCTTTTTATATCTAATATTTGAAAAATGAATACAAATTTTCTCATAAGATTCTTAAAAAATTTATTGAAGAAAAAAGTTATATTTGTTATTATACTGAAAACTATTTCAGATTAAATTGTTCGACTGGTTGAATGATATTTTGTATTATAGTTTATAATAATAATTATTATTATTATATTAATGTGTTATTATTACAGTTTATTTATATTTATTTATTATTATTTTGTATTATTATTATAACACTGCGATGTTCTGTCTTAAACTATATATTGTATTATACATTTATTTGAAATTTGTTTCAATTAATTTATACTGTTGAGAGTAATTTWTTTCTGGAGCAATAAACTTATAGTTTCAATATTGTGGTTTAATGAAAGACTTCTACTCAGAACAGACATAGTATATTATATTATTTCCTATGTAGCGTAGAGTACATGGAAACTTAAGACGTATATACTTTATCAGAAATTGTGTAGTATAATATTGTCTAACATATTATATGATTTGTTTTACGAATATATTTCTAGTGCATCTATAAACTCTGTTTTTTACTCCTACTAATGAGTTCCATTCGGTTTGAAAAAATATGATATAATTAATCAATAACAATTTAATTAACTTAATGTAAGTTTTTTATTATTGTTTGAAACTCGAGAATGCGACGTATGATAGGTATATTACAAGGTTTGAAAAGTATATGATATATATTTATAATCCTATCGTAAGTGACTATTCGAAATATTTACTTAAAATTATTGTTATTTTTTAAATCAAGTTATTGAAACTATTCAATACAATTTTGATTTAACCAACTTTGTTTTTATCATAACATTATTTTAGCATTATCCAATATTAGTTTATGTTTATTTTATTAAATACAATTTTACTACTTACTAAAAAATCGATAAATCATTAGATCTTAAGATTTTATCTTAACAAACTGTTTTTTTTTCAAATTGAAAATATGCGCCGGAAGTGAGCAATATTTATGAATATCACAATTTTTTGATAATCATTATTATTCCTACTCTAAATGTATTAACTTTGCAATCCATCATAAAAATATTTTGATGTTTTTATAAAATATGAGTATTGTTGTTACTATAACGTATATTATTAAGCACCTATACAATACATACATACAATGCTAATTTGTAGATTTCTGTCGATTCAGCTGACGTACTAATTAATAAAAATATTTTTTTAATTATTTTCTAATAAATAACAAATTTTGTTTATATGAACGCGTTGATCAATTCATAAATCACTATAGAAGTCGTTATTTACAACACTTACTATTACTAATAACAGAACACATTTAAATAGAAAATATAATATGCTTTGCCAAAATTGCTACGGTTTGAATGCTTTATATACAATTGCGATGATAATGATGAATTTGTTGATAGTCTGGTATACGGTTCAATCGGCAAACCATAAGGTCGACGAAAAGCACCTTGTCATGGATAARGCTAAGTCTATAGTGAGACAGCTGGACTCCATAGACGATATCGTCTTTTGTCACAATCCAGTTTATCATTTTATCAAGATCAAGGTAGGTAATATGTAAATACGATATACTAGCGAAAAAAATTATAAAACCTTTTTTCATTACCTTTATTAAAGTCTAAAAAGTAGCTAGGTACCTACTTTTAATTACGTATACAGTGTCTTTTACAAATTTTAAATTTCGTAACGCAATTTCGCTAGTAATTAAGAAATACTTAATCAATTTAAAATTTTGGTAAAAACTCATTAGTCTTTAAAATTTCATGATACATATAAGTGATAGTGACTTAAATTATCAATAATTTTCATTGCAACTTGATCTTTTTTGGGGGCTACCGTACCTTAAAGTAATTTCTATTTATCTATTAAGTAGCAATTAACATTCGTCCGCCTAATAGGAATTAATATGATTTAATATAACCCGTTTAACCCCTGTAGGGGTCGAATTTAAAAAAAATCTTTTCTCAGTGGGTGTCTACACCATGAAATAAAACGACTGTCTAAATTTCATACTCCAGTGGATATACCTTCAGCGGTTCCGGCCGATTCAGATTATATTTTTATTTTTAACTCTTTTACCTCTTTTAGCCCCGTTAAGGGTTGTATTTTGACAATTTCTTTCTTAGGTGGTTTTCGCATCATAAAACAAAACTGCTATCAAGACTACTATACTGTAGAATTTTGAAAAATCTTTTTTAATTGCGCCCCTTCATTGCTTAAGGTACCTCTGTACAAAATTTAAAGTCTCTAGACCCAGGGATTTGGTCTGGGCGTAGATAAGTGAATATGGGTGGTCTCCTATATATGTCTAAAGCTAGATTTATATAATATTATAYGACCTAAATTGCACTCTGCTCCACTACACCACAATTATAAGCTAAGTAAACKRAGAGCAATCATTTAAAAAATCATAAAACTAGCATAAAAGTATGTTAAAAGAATGTTCTCTTCAAGGAAGTTTGTTTTCATTAAAAAGCGTTGATAGGTATGTGAAATTWTTATTACTGTTATTAATAAATTGTTATTATTATTAATAATTATAAATAAATTAAATAATTAAAGACAAAACCGTTAACTGTAGTGTATAATACATAATTCGTGTTAAAAAATAAAATAAATATATTTACAAAAGAAAACAAGAGAAAATATTTTTATGTTTTATGATGTTTTCAAAATATACAACGCGTGTAACCTATATATACGTATTTGTTAGTTTTACCATAAATAATATGTGCTCGTGAAATAGGTATCAGCTATATATGCATATATAGCAGTGTATTATAATATCTATACGTATATTATAACGACGAGTGTAGAGTCAAGGGACACGCGCGTGTGTAATTGAATTTTTACCATAAACGAGATTAATTTCGCGTGGAATATGAAMCGTTGCGCGTAATACGTATTACTATGCGAGTGGCAAATGTTTGATGGTACTTACGTTTATGTACCTACTACCTGCGTATATAATGAGCCTACTCTTGGGACATGCGGGGACGGTTGTACATAATATATTTATTCAATGTGAGATCGGAATTTCGGGCTCATTACATATATATATATTAAACAAAACTATGGTAGGTATATATAGTTTTATAATTCAGGCACCCGTTATGAATCCCGGAARACCCTTTTACGATGGATGGTGTCTAGCGTATAGTTTTCCGGAAGAACACTGCGGTTTTTCATTCGAAATTCTATTCGGCCATTCGGGTCGTCACTAATTCCACCATCACCGTCGGCAATAGGCTGGGTACAATCACTATCACAATCAAAAATAAAATACYAATAAACCACCAAAAAATGCAAGAAACGATATCATAATATTAGTTGGTATGCGTAGTGTTTAAATCGATCGAACTTGGTCTTCTATATCATTTATACCCACGAATTATAAAATTTATAAAATTATTATGTTTTTATGTGAATTAATAAAATACCTAATTTTATTGAATAGGGCTTGGCCAGTTGACCAGTTGACCTCACAATAAATTTTTTTTTTATGCTTCCATTTCTCCCTAAACTACCTCAAGAGCAAAATTCAACAGTTGTACTCAACATATAGTAGGGATGTAATGGTATAATATACACGAATACCGCAATATTGTACCACACTTGACATAAAATAATATACACAATATAATAAAATAGAAAATAAAATATATTTTACAATAATCACAGGTATGCAATAAATTTATCAAAAAAATTTAAAAAAAATAGATAGTGTTAAAATGTTTCATTTGTAAAATAATATGTTATAAATATACTAGTTATACCTACTAACCGTATTTACCCGTGTGCAGATTTGTTTCTCCTTACATTTTTTCCCCTGTTCTCCGAGAATAGTGGTTTATAAAACCGGCATAGTAAAAAATGTATTTATAATTTCCAAGTAAAATAGTCTTACATAAGCTGAAGCTCCRTTCAAAATCATTTTATTGAAGAAATTATTTATAATTTTTTTTAAATTTAACACATCCACAAAGTCTTACCCGAGGAGTGAAGRATATCCATAATAATGAGTATGACCGGATTTTTTTTAGCTTTAGGGTTATTAAAAACATAACAATTTAAACTATATAGTTACAGTATGTCGTAGAAGTTTCGTATCATCCTAAATATCTTGGCGGCACATTAATATTTTTCGAGTGYTCTCCTTTTATAATTTATTCACTATAATTACTTCAATTACATCAATTCTATCCATAAGTTTATACGCATAGAAATACATATATGATACAGATTTAAGAGGTATTCTGGCTGGTGTTTTTTTTGCTCTGGGAATATCAAAAATACAAAAAACTATTTAAACTATTAAACAACCAAAAGAAACTTTATTACTAATTAAATTGTTAGTAAAATTTGAACAAAACATAGCCTATAGCACTTCTAGTCATGAGGATTATTTAAAAAAAAATTCATCAAAATCCGATTGATAGATTTTGAGTTAAATCCGAACAAACATACATAAAAAGAATTGTATATAATAATATAGATTATAATAAGGACGAAGTATTTTTTTGATAAATGGCCATATATAACGTATCCCACTTGTTAATATAAATGTCATGTATATTCTATAATAATTGTGTATCCATATAATAAAATCAGAGAAATTTGTACATTTGGATAAGAGAAATCGAAACATTTTCTTTTAAATGTTAAAAATATTCGCTTAGGGAAATTGGTGAACATCTGTTACAAATTTTAACCAACTATACTAATGTAATATTTTGTAGCATTAATGTATAATGAACTTTACAATAATATGGTTCTAACATCGAGGTTGAGAAGGAAAATCGCATATTACAAAATTTTCGTCGTCACTATATGTTTATGTATAATATTTAATTACTCTAGAAATGTTATGAAACTTGTGAAATTCATATAATAATATGTAAAATCGAAAATTAGTTTTTATWTTATTGACAAAATATACCGAAATTGAGGATAATATTATTATGTATAGTAATTAATACATATTAGCGTTTTGAAAGTTAAAGAATATGGAAAATTTGATTGAATTGAGATTAATTAATAATATCTTTAAACTCAATGAAATATATAAAGTACGAAATGTTATATTCATCAAAATCGTTTACTATTACAATAACGAGTGCTTTAAATTTAACACATATATTGCAAGTACAGATTATGATAATCTTTTTAAAAAAAATAAACATTTCGTGATAATTACGACTGTCCATTGTTTTATATTAATACTATCTTAACAGTATTATGGCTATGGTATATATGTACCTACCTAAGCGTTTTATATAGTTAGTTTCGTAATGTATTAATTTTATTCAATTTTAAGTTTTAGTCTAATATGAACTTAATTTGTYGCTAACATCATAATCTCCACGATGTGTACAAATGTGCACAATAATTAATAATCCTTCGGATAGTTTGTGAGCAGTCGARTTTAGAGTTTATTGTTGCAGATAAACGCCGCGGTGGATGCCATGGACAATGACGATGACGACTTAGCCTCCGAGTACTTTACCGACGCCCTGCTTTTGATTGGACCCAATCAAAAAGTTTCGAGATTAATGCATAATAATTTACCCAGACACATTATCACAAAAATCAAACGCAATTACGGAAAATACTTGGAAGAAGTGGATGACGTAAAAACATAAAAATATAGACCAAGTATAATATTATGCGTAAGTACTATTGCATTTATTTTATTTTTAATTTTGTATTTGAAATAAATAATCTTTTCGAAAATAAGCTAATATACTGAGAGTATWTAGGTGTAACATGAATGGGATTGGTAAAGGAAATAAATAACCCTTTAAAACGACACTTTTCTTAAATATCTATTTTTTTTTTAATATTTTAATATTTTAACAGTGCACATCAATTTCTTTTTAATCTGTATGAGGATTTCACAGTATTGTCAGAGTTTAAAGATACTGTGGAGGCTGGAAGCCATGGATAAAATAATTTGATCAATAGTCGTTTACAAATTAAAATGCAAAATTAGGTTTGAGAAATATATGTTGGAGCAAAGAAGAGTCATTAAAGAGCTATAGGAATTTTGCAATGCTAGGATTTCATTTGTATTCGTTTCTCTCGATGATACTCTATGTGATAATCCATAAATTCAAATTTAGAGTTGAGGAGTGTTTCATAAATTATATTTTATTTTAAATAATGATACATATTTTGTAATTCGACAATATTATTGTTATGGTTTACAAATAAATCATGGTTTTATTTGTGAACCCATTCGATGATAATCATAGTATTCGATATTATTGAATTAACTTTTATTTTAATATTCATATTCTACAATATACCTAATAATAATATGAACCACAGTAACCATATAAATTATACTATATATTATAGATGTGTGTTTGTAATACATTTGATGGATCCATACACAATTTTTGACGACATCAAATTTAGCTCAAATCTTTTCATATTATTTATAATAAATACGAATACATTTAGGTTATTGGAAACTACACTCACGTTGTAATTATTTTATAGGCTGTACTCAGACTTTTTTTTAGATTCTGATACTATTATTTTTTTTTAAAATTGGAAAAATAATAAACTGATTACTATTATCATTGTTATAAATACTATAATTATTTGTAATATTATACAGTGATTCACGTAAAATACACAGCACTAATACGAACTAAAATTTTAACACATTAAATAAGTACACAGTTATCAATATAATATTATAATGTTATACGACAACTACACAGTAGAATAAAATGAAATCTTATTACTACTTTGTCTTGTTTTAAATACTTAATTACTTTGTAAATCTTTTTAAATATTAATGTAATATGTAAATATACTAATAGATAATGTACTGTTACATCCAATGGCCATAGACGCCACGGATAGTTGTTTAATAAAGAAAAAAAAATGAAATCTTAAATATATACTTATTAATAATGTAGTATAAAATTGCAATGAAATTGTAACTAAAAAATTATTATAATAATTTACCAAAGTATCAAACTCACTTAATTAATAWATTTTATTAAAATAGTTTTCCAATAGTTATGTATTTTACTTABATAATTAAAAAGTTAGCTGCATGTACAATATATTTTAACTTAAGATTTTCTATGAAACCATTTTTATTGAAATTATTTGAAATTTAAAAAATATTCACGGGAATAAAACAAACTAACATCATAAAAGAAACACGAACAAATCAAATAAACAGTAATTATTATATTATACTAACGCAGATGGGTTTCTTAGAAAAGTAGAAAATTATAKTCTTCACTTGAAAATGTTACAATTTTGAATAATTTATTTAARWTACACTGCTGCAGTTCTATAACTTTAATGTTATAACTACGCATGAAAAAAATATAATATATACTCATAAAACTAGGYAATATATTGGAATTATACATTTTAATAACAGTAAATAAYAATTCGTTTTGATCTGAATGTATCTTTCAAATTCTTTGCTTCGAAGGCCTATTGAAAAAAGCTAAATAATTAATAAATTACATAGTAACAAATTATGAACAATTTTGTTAGAAAACATTTAAAGCTTTAGTAAGTGGTGTGAACTTTATTTTTTAATACAAGTTTYGTCCTGCTGTATACATATTTGTTTATAATTAATTTTTCTACAGTTATTATTATATCTATCGTTTACATTTAGTCTTAGTTAGACGTGGCTTATATGTTGAGGTACATCTATATATACCTAAATTGTGATGCTAAATAATTTTTCGTGGACCCAATATTGTGTTTGAATTTTCTTAAAATATCTACATAAACTGATCATTTAGTATGTAATTAAATATATATTATATATATACATGTAGTATTCCACTTTCTTATAGATCTAGAGATGACACGTATGTAACTTTATTCYAACTTTGTATTGGTAAGTATATCTATCGCCTGATGGAATAAATGAAATTGGAGTTTTACCTGCCCATATCATGTAGATAAAATATATAATAACAAAATAATATGCTGTTTGTTTTTGCATAAAAACCGTGAAWAAACGTTGATAATTTATGTACTATACATTTATACAACCCTTGGTCGTTTGTTATATTTTAAATAGTGTAAGAAAAACTTTATAAAAAACTGATAGGTATATTAATACTAATACGTCCTTACATTTAAAAAATTTTTTTATTAAAAATAGTGAATTTACAATCTATACAATGGTATAATAAGTAAGTGTGATGACAAAATAATAAAATACCATTAATTACAGAAAAGGAAGGCTCCCAGCAGTGCCACCTGACAAGAAATTAAGGTTTTAATTTTTAGTATTTTCTCCATAGTTTATTTTTATTTTTTTAGGCATTGATCAGATATCTAGGTCATTGCCTATTTAGCCTTCTAGGAATAATAGAGGTAGAAGATATACTTTTAACTATGGGATTTGGTTGAGCTCGAAACTTTGAGTGAAATTTTAAGTAGTAGGATTTGGCTAAGTCGTTGAGGGTTGGTATGTTCAGGTCTTTGTGAAGGTTTTTGTTGGTAACGTACCAAGGGGCAGCGGTTATTATGCGTAGACATATGGATTGGAATGCTTGCAAGGTTTTAATGTTAGATGGTTTTTCTGGCCCCCATAGTTGGATACCGTAAAGCCAAGCCGGACGAATTATTGATTTGTATATTGTAAGTTTGTTGGCTAGAGAAAGTTTCGATTTTAATAGAGGTCTCAGAAGATGCAGTCTAGCAGAGTTCACTGATTTACGTTTTTGTTTAAGATGCGAGCTCCAGAAAAAAAAAAACTTAAAGTTTTAACATTATATGTCCTGCAGATACATTTATAATAATATATTAAAATAAAATAAAACACGTAATACAATAATCAATAATAATAAGTACAACCCTAAAATGTTTACTCAAGTATATGATACGTAGTTGTACAATTTCAACATGATACAAAAACATATTGTCAAATATAAGATTCAGAATTTCGTTGAAATAGTTTTTTGAATAAATGGATATACACAGTAAACGTGGTTTTATTTTAACGGAAGTATGTAGACAGTTCCGGTGGGAAGGGAGAACCGGATATTTTCAATACTTGAAAAATAATACATACCTAATAGAATAAAAAGCGCTCATATGGCATTGTAGGTCGTTAGGTCCATATTATATATTTTATGCTATATTCAAATATACATATTATGACATACTGTGACGTACACATATTAATATTGTGCATTATGCTTATGCAGCTGAGCGTATTACACGATACACAGTCCTTGCAGTGATATTCACAATCATTATTCCAGAAATAATCTTAACGGAAGCTTCGCGTATCTGACATTAGAAAGTGGTCTGTTGAAAATTATTTAAAAATATTCGCGAAAATCTGCACCAGAAAGAATTAGGAAATTTCTTTAGAACTGGTGCATATCTACATAGACCGTATATTATAATACAATGTTTATTGATGTGTATGAGTAGATAACTATAAATATTTATAAATAAATTATTGAAAGATTTATTCTAAGGGTATTGTCCATATATGAGGTAGGTATTATAGTAGGTATCCGAACAAACAGTCTACGTAAAAAGTAAATATATTTTTCTAGAGTTCACTGTTTAAACAATATATATGTGTGTGTATACACGATAAATTGCCAAAAGACAACAAACATATTATTTCTCATTGATGAATTTAATGATGAGTTACATAGGTACTATACGCAACAATAAATTTCCAGGAAAATTGGTTAGGTAAAATAAAAAGCACAATTTTCTGAAACAATAATATTAACCTAATAACCACCCATATATATCTCCTGCACTACATTTACAAAGAATTTTATTTCAATTTAAAATGCAAAACAAATTTTATTTAAGAGCATATTGTGTGTAAGCTAGAAAAATAAATATATTTGAATATATTTTGAATTTATATAGAAATTATAATATAACGATTCATTTCCTCGTATCCTTTTAAAGCACGAGTTCTTAGATTTTCTATACCACATTTTGCTTGTAAATAAAAATCTTATCTATTTTTTTTTTTTTGCAAATAAAATAATTTTTTTTATTGTCATGAGAGATAGATGAATAAAAAATTTTGTATTATTTATTAACGATATATAATTTATATACATATATCCTACATTTAAAAATGTCTACTGTAGAATGTAACTTATATTCATAGCCCATAAGATGCTGAGCAAAATGTGATACTTTCTAGTTTTAAATAATATTATATAAATACCTACACATATATATATAAAACTWCATTGATTTTTTGTGATAATTTCAAGGAAAATTTCATTATTTATTGATAGTAGTTGATATTTGAAAAATAGTACTTAATACCTTTCCTAACTGTCTGAATAGGAAATACAGCACCAACGCTAGATAGTAGAATATAATGAAAAAATAAACCTTTTCAATGCCTTACTAGTTTT